CCTGCATCGCCTTGGAACCGGAGCAGCGTTGTCTTTGGTCGAGCATTCTGCACATCACCAAACGAGAAAGTTCTGTGGCTTCTATTGGAAGCTCGGTGAAAAGAGTCTTCAAATCCATCTGAATCATGCGCGATCCAGTCCTTATCGACTTCCGTTCCTTATTCCTACCTGCAATATTACTACAGTATATAAGGACAATTTAACAAAATGCCCAACTCTTCATCTAATATTCTATGAATTTTCAGTTTTGCTTCACTTCAAACGATCATATACCCCATAATTCTATACATTTTATATAAAGTACCTTGAAAGTAAGTATACATACGCTACGTCGTTGTAAGCTAAGCATAATAGAATCGAAGCCTCATAACAGTGCATCTATTCATACTCATCTACTGGAAAGCCGTTTGCAATAAAAATGAGATGTGACTGAGTTCCACTGGCTTCTGCATTGACTGCATTAACTTCTTGTATTCACAATAAACAAAGATGACACTGGCAAATAACATCTATCTCGTAAAGTTTAACATCGTAGCAGATCGTGCTTCCTTAAAACAGTGATCTTGTGCATTGAGAACAATGCATATCTCGTCAGTTTCTGTTTACTGCCAATTCCTTTTAATTACATGAACTATAACCATAACGATGCTGAGATATTTGCAAAACTCCAGATCGCTGGTATATGCGGTGGGGACCGAACATGCCGCTATTACCCTTTCCGAGGGCTAACGTGTTCACTATCACACCATGCGAGTCCTTTGTTTCACCTTTCTGCCGTGTTATTCTTACAGTGATATTTTTATCGAGTGTCCATTTTTGCACAGACGGTTTATTCATTAGAGTCCAAGAAAACAGATGTGCTAAACGTGGTTCATGAGAAGTTGTCCTTCACATTGAATTGTTTATGAAAGAAAACCTTCCTCGGATGGATTTTTCTTTCAAAGCGCGCTGCACGCAGCAAAAAAAATTGTGCACAGCCCTAAACAGATGCCACATAAGATTAGGCGTAGTGTCGTATATTTGTTGACATTAGAGTGACAACATGTGAGTGGACTTCAACTCATAATTGGGTGCGCAATTGGGACGGCATGAACCGATATTGCTTCGTCGTCAGTGCGTCGAAAAATTAGGTGTAGCCGCATACATGTTAAAGCTGTGGAAGTGAAAGATGTGGCAGAGAGTTTCTCTTCGCAATTTTTACATTAGATACTTGCTAAAAACAACGAAGAAAAGCTGTGATTCATAGAAGGAAGTAGAAGGAACCTTTCATTGAACATTCTTGTGAAGATATACTATTGCAACCACGTGTAATATCGGCAAATCCCATTAATCAGTAAGTTACTCGGGTGGCCACCTGCACAGTCTTTATTCGGCCCTTTGACTAGAACGGGGTTCACGAGACAATCTATAGAGACGCATGTTCGCATACTCATTAATGTGATTTCGTTTATACACAAAGAACAAGTTATTTCCAACGAACAGGAGATGAACTTCCATCTTCTGAATTCATTTGTATCCCAGACTAAGTATTTAAACGCAAGCCTAGTCTCTCCAATTATCCATTCGATATGTTTCGCGAAGGAAATAGGTACGTGATTGCAATAGGAAGATGCTAACCAAAAAATACAAAGAGAAATAGAAGTACCTCGAAGATGTAAACTCCCTTGAGACGACAGTGGGTACGAATTGATTCCATTCATACATGGCCCAAAATGTCTAGGCAGTTTGATGTTTGACAAACACAAAAAGCTATCAGAATCTGAAGATTCCTGGAGACACAGGTTTCTTTATTCTACCACAAACTTCCGATTTTATGGAGTCCAGTGGGCTTTCTTTTCTTTTCGTCGAGGGTTAAATACTGAGCGACCAAGCCGCTGAAGAAGCGGGACATAACAGAGCCACCGAATGGCTTCGTTGGTATTTGCTGGAGTGCTTTGCTTTCTTAAAAAAATACAGAAAAAAAGAAGAAGAAACCGAGGATCGTTCCCGACCTTTTAACAAACTGAACTTTAGCAAGTTCAAAAACAGAAAATGACTACTGGAAAATTGCGTATACCCCTATAGCCAAGTGATAAACTCTCTTCCACAAGACTGCAGTTCTCAACTTCTCAAATACTGTAGCTACCGAAAATATGCAGAAGCCACTAAAAATTAGGCGTCAGGAGGAATGAGCAACAACATGCACATATAGGCCAACGTGAATTAACTTCCACTCATATAATGCCAAAATTTTATGGCTGCCTTGAACTTCAAAACCACATGTCTCAGTTCTTAGTGAACAGTATTGATCGAAATGAAAGCGATTAGAATCCATACTTGGTACTTGATACTTGAATGGCCCGTCCTCACTGGTTGTGCGGGCCCCAGCATAATCTCCATTTTTCGGAGATTTGCTGATTAAACCATTATGGTTCCCTGGAGTCCTGAGGTCAACCTGACCAAAGTCTGGCCCAGGTCTTCACCACGACAGACAGTCGCAGCCCTTGTGGATCAGAGGGAGATTTACTGCCAAGCGACTTTGCTACCAAGACGGTCGTGGATCCTGTTATTGGTTTACTCTTTGCTAGGTTTCCTGATAGAAACGCCAGACTCCTTCTCAGCTTGGGAGATCCTGCCCCGCTGTACATCGCAGTCCGACATCCAGGAACACCTCCCAGCCAAGATGAGGCGGTAAACCGTTGAGAGGATTAGAATCTACAAAGCTTTGAAAATCAGACACGTTCTCTTATCCTAAAATGATGAAATGCTGATCTTACAAAACCCAGGAATCGTATTTTTGTTGCCTCTCAAAAGCGAAGCCATCGGACAAGCAGAATTTTCTACAGCAGAATGTCATAGCGTCCCCGAATGCATCCTTAACGCGTGCAGACGTTGCACTTGCTGTAGGAATTCCAGAAATTTCGATTTCTTCCCAACTCCTTGAAAGTTTTATCCTAGACTTGAGAGAATACTGCACAAGAATTATGCATATGATTAAGATATTGACGATTTAAGTCTAAGTGTATTAATGAGGTGGTGAAGCAAAGCTCCTATAAATCAATGAGCGATGAAACAAAGTCTCTTCCACAAATCTTTAAGGTTATAAATACTCTATCGACCGATAATCGATCACCAGTAATCGGAAAAGCAACTTCCAGAATTATGTCTAAGAAGAGAACTCACACTGACGTGCAGTGACGAACAAAAACATGATGTTGGTCGATACGGTAGTAGTGGCTGACCGAAATCACGTGCGTTATTCGTTGATTGACGATTCAATTAGTCTTGCGTTCGTTTCAGATATTTTACATTGAGTGTAGTTAGTCATCGAAATCTCTGTTAGAAGGATGGTTATTGTTGATATGAAAGTGTTTGCATTACTGGTAAGTACTGTTAAGAATTTTAAAAGAAACTCGCCAAAGATGTGCTTAAAAATAAAAATCACTGCTCCCAAAGTTTCCTCACTAAGCCTCTTCTTGGGTGATCCGTGCTGGTTGTGGCGTATCTTGGGTGGACTCTGTGGGTGGTGGTTTATCTTGGGTGGTTTGCATGGGTTGTAGTGTATCTTGGGTGGTCCTTGTGGTTTGTAGTGTATCTTGAGTGATCTCTATGGGTTGTAATGTATCCTTGGCGGTCTGTGTGGATTACGGTGTACTCTAGAAGTTCTACTATCCCTGGACTAGTGTTCTTTCTTCTAAATTTCGGAATGTAAGGCGTAGTGTCTTTTAACTAGTCTAATTCGTGAGAATCTTCCAGAGGTAGAGTTTTCGTCTGTTATTTTGGAACATAAGTCGAATGTCCTTTAACTAATCTGCTCCGTGAAGTAATCTATGTGCACATCTGTAGAGGAAACGACAATCTGAGACGAATTCTCATTATTTTGCAGAACCGTAGTTGTCACGTGAAGTATGGAAGCTGAGGAATCACTAGGCCAGTCATCTTCATTGCAATCGTTCGATGACACAGTTTTTTATGACGATGAAAGTTCTGAGGCCTTCGATTCAGGAGGTATCCTTTGTCTTAGTTAAGCGAATAAGCACCAAGTTCAAAGGTTGACCTTACGTAAGACGCTTAAGGAAGCTCCACAAGGAGTAATATGGGATTGGTGATGAAGGATCAGCCTTACTGCCATCCTAAACCACCGTTACAGTTCATTCGTAGGATGCGAGCCGTAGAACTCGTTGGATCGAAATGTTACAGGTGGGATCATTGATCACTTGGATTGCATTGTTTTCTTAAGGTTTACTCTTTGTTACTTTTACTATGGGCGCGTGTAGCGCAATGGAGCGCCCTGCAATACACATGGGTTCGACCACGCGTCCCATGCCCAGCAAGTCCTCCATCCCTTCGTAGTCGGCAAATTGGTATCACATTTCTCTAGGAGGAGCAGCACTGACTCGATACATCGGTAGGCTACCGCAAGTCATTTTAAAGGCCAGATGTGCATTCAATCACCTCCAAACAATGCTTAGTGAAGTCAAATGCATGGCGCATCCCTCAGAGGTTGATCAACGCCGAAAGTTTTATCCTTTCTACTTTTTCTATACTTGACGTTTATAGTAAACTGTTTTCTGGATTGGAGTTCAGTGTTTTTAAGCTTCCAGAGGTTGAATCTAGTTTAGAACGCCTCGTGGTTTCCAAAAAGAAGCAACTTTCCCGTGTCAATCTCTTCTTGCCCACACATCCTCTTCCAGTTCCGAAGGTAGGAGTGAGCGCCTTTTCGTAAGTTTTTCCTTGGGCATGTGAAAAAGGTATTTATGAGATGGCCAGTCTAGATCAGAAAGATATTTCCATAGTCTTCGGACCTTAAGGAAGATGTTCTCTTTCCTTATCGCCACTAGAATTATTGTGTATCCCTTACTTCGTGTTTTATTCATGACCGAAGTCTTCTTTTTCAGGTAGTGATGTACTCAGTAAGATGTCTCCTAGTTCAGAAAGCCAGGTATTTTTATGGTTACTCTTAAGATTGAAAGATTCAAACTATTGGAGATGGAGAGAACTCTATTATAAAATATGTTGGAGAACAGAATTTAACGCAGAACTGTGTGTTACCGCAGGTTTCTTCGAATTGTGGAGAACATGGACCTCTGGAGCGGTTTAGCTTGATGATTGGCGAAAATATTCTCCACTTCAGGATTGTGAAAGCTCCAGTAGAGGAAACTTGTCTCTACGGTTAGCTAGTTAGCTTTCATTTTGTCTATCCAGAATATTATTTACTTGGATACTAGGATGGCCGGTCTTCAATAGTTGTGCGAGCCCCAGCATAATTTCCATTGTTTCAGAGTTTTGTTGGTTTAGTCTTTGGGGTTCCTAGGAGTTCCGAAACCAGTCAAGGTAAGGTCAGCCCCAGGTCCTTACCACCACAGAGAGTCACCGCTCATATGGATCAGAGGGAGACCTGCCGCCATACAAAAAGTTTGATACTAGGACGGTGGTGGATCCTAATATAGGTTTATCCTTACCTGTGCTTCCTGTTGGAAATGCCTGACTCCTCAACTTGGGAGACCCGGCCGGGGTGGGGTGGGGAGGGGAGGGAGAGTGAATCTACCGCTGTACATCGAAGCCCGACACCCAGTATCACCTCCCATCCACAATGTGGCGATAAATCGTTGGGGAGATATCCAAAATTCTCATGAAAAAACCAAATCTTCAACAGTTACCGGTTGCCGATATTTTGCCTTTACACCAAGATTATTAACCCAATTTTAGAGCCACGGAGTACGTCAGGTGCATGCAAATGTTCTTTATGTGGGAAAATGTTACAAGACAGGATCGCATGGGAGACGCACGTAGCGGTCAGTCGAATAGGCTCCCATCATCTTCAAACCGAATCGTTTCTGGGAAAAACATTTAGGAGGTTCATTGTTCCTCGAAACGCTATCGATGCGACACCTGTAATGCACAGTTCTGCTCAAAAGACCGCTTGGTATCACATATGCGTTACCATCCAGGTATGTGGCCATCGCTTATAGAAATATGATAAGTACCAATAGATGAAAACTTCTAGGTCTCCGTGCGTACAGATGCACTATTTGTACGAAATCATTTTGTCGTTCCACTTCCTTAGCTTTGCATATGAAGATGCATATCACGGGTCATCGCCACTTCTGTCAGATATGTGGTAGATGGTTCAAATCGCTGAGTTCTCTCACCGAGCACGAGGTGGGGTAAATGACGTTTCTCGATTATTTCCTTAGTTAGTTTTTCTTTGTAATTCTTTACAGAACACGTGTCTAGCGATGTTAAACGGTGACTTTTTGAACGCAGAGAGGCCATTTCGTTGGCAGTGCTCGTATTGTGAAAAAATGTTCCATCATCGACGGGATAAGGTTATTTTCTAATAAATTCTTTTTTTAGTGTTATTTAAAGATCGCCTGTAGCTCAGTGTCGGAGTTGCCCTGCAACATATACGAGATCGATTCCCACACCCAAGCTCACCAGGCCTTCCGTCTCTCCGGAGTCAGTAAATTGGTACCAGACTTGTCTGGGAAGATAGCAGCATGTACTCACTTCATTGGTAGGCCACGGCGAGTCATTGTATAGGCCAGATATGCATTCAGTCATCACTTTCAACGAAGCTTAATGAAGTCGAATACATAGCGCATCCCCCAGGGATGGATCAACGCCGAGAGCTTTGTCCTTCATCATTTTATTTAAAGATCTCTATCTCGTGTAAGAATTTATAGATGTTATCGTTTGACGACTGTTATGGAATTTCAGAATATTCATGAGAGAGTTCACACAGGGGAAAAGCCATACACATGTGGTTACTGTGGAAGAGGTTTCACGCAGTCACAGGTTTGGAAAACACATTTTCGTTTATCATTTGTATACATTTTGTAAAAAACGTAACAGTTCACTTGTGCAGTACTCTGTCGTGCGCCATGCTTTCCTTTCTAGGGTTGCACAGTAATCTGTCATTGGACGCCTTGTTTGTGGCTACTGTCTCATAGATAAAAAGTTAGCTAAGAGAAAGGCGAGACGAAGAACTCGCATGATGTGTTGGTGAACGCGTTAGCTCCCGGAAAGGATAATTGCTTGTTCGATCCCTACCGCAGGCACTTGTGGTCCGGAGTTTTGCCAGTATCTCAGTTCAATTCTGGTTGTCACATAGCTATTTTTTGCTTGAGAGGACATAGAAAGCCTTGTAAATTGTCCAGACTGTCTCAGTTTTGCTCACAAAACATTCTTCACCTCAATATTCCTTTTTTTATCATGCTTAAAAATTAGCTGCAAGTTTTTTTCAGACACTCACAATACATATTAGAACGCATACAGGTGAAAAACCCTACCCTTGTGGGATTTGCGGGCAGGAGTTTCGAGATAGGTTTGTTGGGATCTTTTGAACTAAATAAACGGAAATCTAAGAAAATGGTAACATTGCTATTGTTTTCGTTTGTAGTTCCTTTCGAACTTCTTTTCAGTTCTTCTCTACGAAAGCACGAATATAGCCATGCCACCCTTCCTTCATCAGTAGTTTCTTCATTGTATGGTGATTCAGCTGTTGAGATTGAAGCCGGTGGTGCAGGACGTTCGTGGAATGGAGGGAACCTCGCAAGTTAACCCATGGAATTACTCTTAGGATCATTTTTTAGTGCGCATTTAGTAGACTTCATAAGCCTCCTAAAATATTGTGTTACACACTGATCTCATCCTCATATAGTGTTTCCGCCATTATTAAGTGCTCCAAGGTTTTTCTCTTACATATTTTTGACTTTCAAATTGTTCTTTAATAATGATTTTTAAAGACACTTCTCGATACTCAGAATGTTTTCCGACCTACTTCTAGGAACACCGTTTAATCGTTGTATGGCCATCATTATTTAACCACGCAAAGTCCTAATACTAACAGACCCTTGAATAGACAGTAGAAGTACGAGCGAGAAGTAAAGGCTTTGGCAACGAACTACCTTACTTGGTCCCATTTGATGGTTCGTATTGGATAAGTATGGTAAGAAGGATAAAGCTGTTGCCGTTGATCAATCCCTGAGCGATGCACCGTCCATTCGACTTCATTAAGCATCTTTCGGTTCTAACTGAATGCATATCTGGCCTTTACAATGACTCACGGTGGCCTACCGATGTATCGAGCCAGTGCTGCTATCCTCTTAGACAAGTCTGGTACCAACTTGCCGCCCCCGAAGAGGTGGAACGCTTGATGAATCTGGGACACGAGGATCGATCCTAGGTGTATTGCAGGACGCCTCCGACCACTGTGCCACACGCACTCATAAACGTATCGAACAACGAACTTAGATCACAGTATGTATTCAAACAGATAACAACAGTAGCAAAACTAACAACGGTATCTCATCACAAATAGTGACATTGAGAAGATGTATAACAACAAATACAATAAAAGTACGAGTGGAATTAGTGGAACAATGCGTAGAAATTACATTTTAAGAATCAAAGGGATTTTAAAGTCAAAGTTAAGGTATGTTCAATTTAACAAAATATAAACATAAGCACTAGCCGACATCCTAATAAAAGTAAATCTATAAATCATTCATTCCGGGAGCTCTTTTAGCCAATAGTTTTTTCCTCTTGTTTTTTACGACTTTTGCGCTAGTTTTCGCCAGCGTCCGCTTACCAATCCGCTTCATTATTGGCTTTTTCTTTCTGACTTTACGTACGTAGCCAGCCTAGAAGAATATATTGACATAATAATATACGAAACTCTTCGAACTAAAGTAAAGAGCATAAGGACGGGATACGAATCCGGCGCTAAGTGCCGCGATTTAACCAAGAATCGAAGCTCACAGTATTGAAACCGTCACTTTCAGGATCTTTAGAATCATTACTAATCTTGTTTTTCAGTAGGCGTCGTTTCTTCTTTGATCGATGTTTCTTCTTCCTGTCTTCAGAACAAGTAGCTTCTGGAAAACGAACTCTCAATGAGGTCTTTTTTATGGACTATGCGAAATAATAACCATCTTCGTTATTATCAGAGTCTTCACGTTTATTCGTACTAGACGATAAGCTGGACGAATTTTGTTTCACTTCCTCGTCAGTGCCACATTTTTCGCTCTTTTCTCGTTGAGCCTGAAATGTTAAGCGATTTTACATTTCAAGATTAAGTAAGAAAAGTAGGTAAGATTCTACACTAAAACATAAAACAGACACTAAAACAACAGTAAGGCAACCAACAATGTCGATGCTAGCCTTCCCCATCCTTTCATTTGATAGCTTCTTGAGCTTGGCCACAAAAAATCCATCAATGTTGTGCACATGTGGATAATAACGACGAGTTAAACTTAACGACGGATGGAATCGATACTCGCGGAATCTGCGAACATTACTTTCCTCCTGAGAATAAAGAATCGAACCAACGTTGGAAGAAACAATTACCCTCACCGTGTAAATCCTTCAACACCAACTTCCAGACCACAAGGAACTAATTCGCAGTGCCTCTTTCCTAATGCGTAATTGACTACGGCTTCGTTTTCTTCCACCTTGGAAAATTATACAATTATACCATTTGTATGGCACTGAATTCTATTTAAGAAGAAGCGCATCAGCAGGCTCTTAGAATATCCAAATCGTGCAGTACAGGTATTTGCACTAGTTTCGAAGACAAAGATAGGATTTTTCAAGCAAAAAGGTTTGACCATCGCATTATCACAAAAAAATGTTAACAATGAGATAGAAATAAAAGGATAAAGCTCTCGCAGTTGATCAATCCCCGAAGGATGCGCCATGTATTCTTTATTAGGCATCGTCGGAGGTGACTGAATGCAGATCTGGCCTCATTTGCGGTGGCGTACCGATATATCGAGCCAGTGCTGCTATCCCCTCAGACAACTCTGGTATTAATTTGCCGATTCCGAAGCGATGGAAGGTTTGGTGAGCCTGGGGCGCGAGGAACGATCCAATATATACTGCGAGGCCTCTCCGACCACTGCGCCATGTGCGCCCTAACAGTGGAATATATCAAGGGACTGGAATATGCTCATAAGGAAGCATGCGTTTTGTCACATATCTCACCACTAACCTTGTGAATTGTCCAACAGAAACTTGTAATAAAGTCAATAATATAGTGGAAAAGAACGAACGAGAACTGAGCAGGTAGAGTACACAACGTATCCTCCACCAGCAGATTTAGAATCGACGGCGTCAAGAGCAGCAAGGATCAATTGTCGTTGCACCGTATGCCTAATAAAGCAATAGGGTAGGAGCAAATCGTATCATTAAAGAAAACGTCTAACCTTCGCTGAACATCTTGGCTATCTTTGCTGGTCTTCACTGTTTCATCCTTCCATACTACACCTGTTCCGGAGCAAGGAGCATCCAAAAGGACACGGTCAAAACTATTGGGAGCAAGCTTAAAATTACCATTGAATTCAGGAGAAATCATGGAAGGAGTACGATAAGGTGTAACTAAGGGAAACCATGGTGAAATCTAAGTACATTAGCACTCTCTTATCTTATGTTCTCTGATCTGATGGATCTGAATTATCGATTTTTCGCACTAACCTTAGCATACTCCTCAGCGCTCAGGTTACTGACAATAGCATTATTTACGCCAAGTCTATGCAGATTTCCAATGACAGCACGGCAGCGAGCTATCTGCAGAAGTAGAAGTGAGACGAAAGATAATGAGAGAAAGGTGAAACAAAGTACCAGCATGGTGTGATGTTGAACACGTTAGCCCTCGGAATGGGTAATAGTGTGTTCGGTCCCCAACGCACACACCTGCGGTCCGGAATTTTGCAAATATCTCAGCTTCATTTTGGCCATATTTCACATCATACTCTGCCATAAGAAAATAAAAGGCAGTAAATAAAAAGTTGACATTGAAATGAAAGAGTTTCACAAACAAATTTCATGCTTAAATTTGAAACCTAAGGAAAAGTGACAACTTACAATGTCAACTTTTTATTTGCTGCCTAGTAAAATTTCTCATGGCAAGGTATTATTTGAAATACAACCATAATGATACTGAGACATATGCAAAACTCTGGACCACAGGTGCCTGCAGTGGAGATCGAACACGTTATTACCCTTTCCGGGGCTAGCGCATTCACCACCACACCATGTGGGTCTTTCGTTTCGCCTCTCGCTCAGTTAGTTTTCTATTTTACTAACAACTTACATTTGCATCGTTGGCAAAGAGAACACCACTATTTTTCATCAAACCAGCAATGTGTGAAGTCTTTCCACCAGGTGCAGCACACATGTCTAGCACTCGGTCTCCTGGTTGTGGTGCAAGAGCCATAACAGGCAATAAGGAACTCAGGCCTTGTATCATGTAATGGCCAGCGAGATACTCCGGAGTAGCGCCTGTAGAAATGCACAATTAACCAGACTCAACGTTATTGAAAGAAGGTAGAAGAATTTTACCGATAGGAACTTGAGAATCGTACACTACAAGTCCTACTTTTGTCCAAGAAGCTGCAGGATCAATGTTCATCCCCCGATTGATTAAAGACTTTGCCAAATCACCTCTGTATTAAAATTATTCGAAAAATAATGGACGCCATAAAGAAAACTAAACATTGGATAACTTCCTTAAATATTAAAAGGATAGAAGGACAAAGTTCTCGGCGTTGATCAGTTCCTGAGAGATGCGGTATGCATTCGACTTCACTAAGTATCGATGGAGGTGATTGAATGCATATCTGGCCTTTATAATGACTCGAGGTGGCCTACCGATATATTGAGCCAGTGTTGCTATCCTCACAGTCAAGTCTGGTACCAATTTGCCGACCCCAGAGGGATGGAAGGATTGGTGGGCCTTGGGCGCGTGGATCGATCCCATGTGTATTGCAGGGTGCCTCGGACCACTGTGCCACACGCGCCCTTCCTTAGATATTAGACCACTACAAACATTAGCTGCCTCTCCATTACGCTGGAAACGTCGGCATTTTAGAACACCTATCCAAATTGACTCAATAGGGAAGAGCAAAGTCCCTATTATCCCTTCATTTTCACAACCTTCTTGTTTTCAAGGTGTTCGTCCTTATTGTAACTGGTCGTTGCTGTTCATTTGCATCCAAAAATTCGATTAACTGAAAAGAAAAAGAGAAGAAAAAACTACTGTAGAAATCGAACGATCAACGAACAAAAAATAACCTCGGACGGTTGTGGAAACAACTGCATGAACTTATTCATAAGATATTCATTATAACCATATTGTGAGCATAGATCTTTTGCTAGAATAGCGAGATAGTCATCACGATTTTTACCTGGTTGACGACGATTCTTGAAATCACCTAGCACCTGAACACATAATTTTCAAAGCAGTTTCAGAAATTTGGCATGAAAATGAGTTTACAGGTATAAATTTAACCTGGACAACTTCATTGATACGATCCCTGATTATCTGAAGATTGGGAATTTCTCTGAGCTCCTTCTCAATTTCATCAACACTTGGAAGCTCGTACTGTTGCTGTCCAACAATGTTGAGGCGTAATTCGGATTCCCCTTCCTTCCTGAAAGCGATCCGTAAGAAAGCACCTCTAGCCGGAACGTCATAACACTGAGTCACAGAAAAAAACCCCGGAGTAACTAACGCAATCGCATTCCTTCGTTTGTCTAGTAGACGAGCCTTCTTCTCTATCGGTAATTCATCATCCGTACCCGATTCATCTACTAAAAAAGTACTATAAATCTGGTCATCGAGTCGATTGAGAAGCTGTCACATTTTGTGTGTGATTTTGCCATATATCCTCCCAACGGTTTACCGTCTGGCCGTGGCCGGGAGGTGTTTCTGGGTGTTGGGCTGCGATGTACAATGAGGAGATTCACCGCCAGCAGCCCCGCCCAAGCTGAGAGGGAGTCCGGAGTTTTCATCAGAAAGCCCAGCTAAAAGTGAACCAATGCCAGGATCCACCACCGTCCCGGTATCAAATTAGTCGGCAAATCTTCCTCTGATCCACAGCGGCAACCGCTCGTAGTGGTGATGACCTCGGGCAGACTTTGCCGAGGCTGACCTCGGGACTCTAGGGAACCACAATGGCTAAACCAGCAAAACTCTGAAACATTGGAAACTTTGCTGGGGCCTGTACAACCAGTGAGGACGGGCCATCCAAGTACCCAGGTAAGTAAGTTTGTCATATCTAAATTCACCAATCATCTCCTCGTCTGACCCACTACTGCCATAATTATCCTTCATTTCAGCATCAGAACTTTCTCCTATGCTACCGTTAAGGTTCTCGAAAAACTTCTTGGGACCATCGTCGTCATCAGAATCGAACAACGCATTCGACTGAAAATCATTGAAGAAGCATAGGCCATCGAAGAACGAAACTGAAAAGTCAAAGTCAAAAACGGTGCTTAAATGAACCTTCTTCTCCTGATTCTTTTTCGCTTTGCTTTTCTTAGAAGTTTGCTCTGCTTTTCCATCCTAAATATTTTATTTTCAAGTTTAAGCCAAATAATGGAATATTCGTAACATAACAATAACTGGAAAATGAAACACCTCACCGCTTTTTCCGATGGTCCATCACAATCTTCTTTCGGTAAAAGTATACTTTTCTTTTGCTTGACTTTCGTTTTGAAAGAACTAAGCTTTTTCTTCTTTGGGAGGAAGTCAGGTCTGTCTATAGGCTTCGAATCCTAAATTATTTCGAAGTAGTATATATACGCATAAAAAAGGATGAAAGAATAAAAGGATAAAGCTCTCGACGTTGATCAATTCCTGACGGATGAGCCATCCACTCGACTTCATTAAGCATCGTATGGAGGTGATTGAAGGCATATCTGGCCTTTATGGTAACAGCAGTAGCCTACCGATGTATCCAGACAGCGGTGCTATCCTAGCAAATAAGTCCGGTACCAATCTGCTGACACCGGAGGGATGGAAGGTTTGGCGAGTCTGGGTCGTGGGGATCGATCCCATGCGTATGGCAGGGCGGCTCCAAGCACTGCGCCACGTGCGCCCGTCCACACGTATGTATACATATATCCATGATTAGTCTATGCAGTAAATCGCGATTGATCGTATGGAACTTACTTTTTTTGGATTGAAGTCTTTTCTTTTCAAACCTGACTTTGCTTGAGCAGTTACCTGAAGAAGAAATAATTTCCACAACAGTATAACTTCAAACCCACAAGACCTAATGGAACATTCACTAGGACTAAATCTAAAGAAGTAAGAAAAAAAAGACGAAAAATGTAGGAATTCTGGACCGTTCTGGAAACTATCGACTAGAAACTAAGCCTACGTCATTATTTTCCGGAAGGGATTTCCTCTTTATCGCTTTTTTAAACTTCTTTACGGTTTTGCCATTATCCAACATATCTGAAAACGATGTGAAGACATAGGAGAAGAAAGGAAGAAAGAAAGAAAAAAGGAAGAAGGAGAGAAGAGAAAAGAGAAGAAGAGGAAGAGAAGAAGAAAGAAAGAAGGAAGCAAAAAACATTAGAAAACAAGTTAGGTATAACATCAGAACAGCTTCTTCTGAATGTAAACCACGAGATCCAACAAACCAGCAATGATCTACGATCTCAATAATTAATTAGTAAATGATAACTAATCAATTTCCAGTAATGCTAAATCCCAAAAATGACTACTAGTAAATGGAAGAGCGTCGAGCTGGCCTGCACCAAGGACTCCCGGACGCGCGCCACTGCGCTGCGACAGACTTTGGCGCTTTGGAGACATCGCCAATGAGCACAATCCACCTTAGGGTGTTGATATTCTGGACTTTAGAGAGACCTAGAGTTCGCTCTAATTTTAGTTTCCCTTGTTTGGAGCCAAATAAGTGACACTATCGGTTGAAATCACAATCTAAAGTCCTTAGAACACATGTCTGCTCGTTTACTTCTATGCTTTTGTGCAAATGCACTAAGCAGTTTGCTTATATGGACTCTCCTAGATTTTATTACTCTCGTTCCGTATTTTCTTATTTTCGTTTTCTCTCAGCTCTTTTAAATTATATCTATGGTGACGTAACATATATTTAGGTTTGGGATCAGGGATCAGAGATCTAATCGTCCAGGTAGAAGACAGGGTCATTCAAGTCATCTAGAAATTGCTGAGCATTATCCAGTATTTTCCTGGGTGTCTACGCATAGAAGCATTCTTCTATCCACATGTTTCCCATTTAGATCGTTTTCTCGGTATCGGCCTAAGTCTTTGTTCGCAGACGGACCTTATTTTCCCTTAACCCGATAAGTCATTGAAGAGTTCTTGTTCGTCATCGTAGTATTTATACTTAAATGACTCATCCTGATTTACTCAAAGACATTTACTACATATAATTCTAGCAGAAGCTGAACTTCCTGAATTGTCACTAGCTAAAGGTTGCAATGGGTTTAACTCCTTTCTATAAGGCCGCGTGTAGCGCAGTGGTCGGAGGCGCCGTCCAAAACACATGGTATTGATACCGCATCTCAGGCTCACCAAGCCATCCATCCCTACTGAGGCGGCAAATTTTTACCGGACTTGTCTGGGAGGATAGCAGCACTGGCTCGATACATCGGTAGGCCACCGCGAGTCATTTTAAAGGCTAAATATGTATTCAATCACCTCCAACGATACTTAATGAAGTCGAATGCATGGCGCATCCCTCAGGGATTGATCAACGCCGAGAGCTTTATCCTTTATCCTTCTATCTCTCTGGTGATTATTATGTACTCTGAGTGTCTGTTAAATAAATTATTTGTCTAACTCCTCCTTTGTGGAGCAGATGACCAAATAATCCTCTATGTCGTTCATTCGTTAACATTCGACTTAGTGAAGCACCGTTGGAAGTGAACGAACATTCGTTAAGTCTCATTAAGTCGAATGCATGGCGCATTCCTCAAGGATTGATCTACGACGAGAGCTTTATCCTTCGTCTTTTTGACTTTTTTCTATCTCCAGTGATTGATCCTTAGAACTGTTTACTCTACTTGAATGATTAACTTCATTTCAGATGGAATTCCTTTTTGGTCGGAAGAAGACGCCGTCTGAGCTTCTTCGTCAGAATCAACGTGCACTTAATAAAGGTATGATTACTTTTCTTACATGGGTTATCCTTATTTCTTTATTTCATATGAAGTCGACCACATTATGGATTTGCATGGCATTCATTAAACTGACAACTAAACTGAACACACTAGTAGATGATCCATGGAATATTGATTGAAATCTTTGAAGCTATTCGGGAGCTTGATCGGGAAAAGTCACGTATGGAAATGCAAGAGAAGAAAGTGATTGCTGAAATCAAAAAGATGGCCAAGCAAAATCAAATGGTACGTTTTTTCTATGCATTTAGTGATACTAAGGGTTGTATATTTACCATGATGGACTTTCTATTAACGTCGGCATTGACCGAACAATTCTCTATATTCCTGTTGGGCAAGCACGAGGTGTTATTTTATTTCTTTATTGAGGAACAAGCTGACGTTTCGGAGGATTTCGCCTTCACCGGAGCCTGAATAGGTAGCTTGACCTGAGGAAGGCGAAATCGGCCGAAACGTCAGTTTGTTCGTCAATAGCTGGATACCTGGATGGCCCGTCCTCGCCGGTTGTGCGGGCCCCAGCAAAAGTTCCATTGTCTCAGAGTTTTGCTGGTTTGGTCTTTGTGGTTCTTAGGAGTTCCGAGGTCGGCCAGGCCAAAGTTGCCCTAGGTCGTAACCGCTACAGACAGTCGCCGCCTTTGTGGATCACGTGGAGATTTGCCACCATGCGACTAGTTTTGTACCAGAATCGTGGCGGATCCTTGTATTGGTTTACTCTTAACTGCGATTCCTGATGGAAACGGCGGACTCTTTTTCAGCTTGGGAGACCCTGCCAGGGGCTGAATCTCTTCGCTGTACATCGCAGCTCGACGCCCAGGAACACCCAGCCACGATGAGGTGGTAAACCGTTGAGAGGTGTTCGTCAATAAAGAAACAAAATAACACCTCTTGTTTACTCGACATGCATACAAGGGGCTGTATATTTAGTTTGTGAGAGTTTCTTTTTTCAGGATTCGGTTAAGGTTATGGCGAAAGATCTTGTTCGGACTCGTCGTTACATCAAGAAGTTTATAATTATGAAAGCGAACATTCAAGCGGTGTCGTTAAAGGTTCAAACACTTAAAAGTCAAGACGCTATGGCGCAGGTGATAACACTTTGACAGATTGTTTTCCCTAAGCTGTTTAGCATAACTTTTGGCTTAATGAGTGTTTGTTGAAGTCCACAGGATGTTTATGAATTCGACTAAGCAATAGGTTTACCGGTTCTAGGCCATGAAAGGTGTTACAAGAGCGATGCAGTCGATGAACAGGCAGTTAAATCTTCCACAAATCCAGAGAATTATGATGGAGGTGATGCGTAAATCTCTAATTTGTGTATTCTTTCTTGTATACTACGATTTTCTTTTACGAAAAAACGTTGGTGTTGAACTGGATACGAAAAGTGTCAAAAATCATTATCAACAAGGTAGTGCTCGTAAAATGCACTTACATTAAGTGGACCTTACGAATTCTTTCTGATAGTCAGTAATGCTTACTTGTATACTTGGATGGCACGTCTTCACTAATTGCTCGAGCCCCAGCATAATTTTCATTTTCGGAGTTTTGCTGGCCTAGCCATTGTGGTTGACTGGAGTCCCGAGGTCATCCTAGCGAAAGTCAGCCCCAAGTCGTCATCACCACAGGCAGTTATCACCCTTTTGGATCAGAATGAGACTTGCCACCAAGCGACTTGTTTGATACCAGGTCGGTGGTGGATCGTGGTATTGGTTTACTCTTAGGGAAGCTTCTTGATAGAAACACAGGACTCCTTTTCATCTTGAATGATCATGGTGGGTGGGATGAGTCACCCCGCTGTACATCGCAGGATGACACCCATGGAAACCCCAGTCACTGAAAGGCGATAAACCGTTAGGAGGATACAGGATAGAAGCATGTGGCATGCTTCTTCGAAAAATGCCTTTTTTCGACGAGTTGCAAGTTGTTGAGTGGATTAACTTGTTGCTTTATCAAAATAAGGTATAGCTCATTGAGAACGCTTGATGTATCCTATAGAATAACTTATCTAAGCTTGCGCATCCAGGACTTCCCACTTTTCAGTTGAACGGCTTTTTTTCACAGCAGGTACTGCTTCTAATCTGGTTGGGCAGTAGCAGCGACACTGCCATTGCTAACTACCTATAAGGAGCTTTATTGAAGTGTTGTAAGGGCCGGCCTCTTTCTTCGGCACCAAATCGTAATTAGTATAGAAGAATGATTTATACTACAACTTCAGCTTAACTGGGTTCAATGCCGATTTGGACTGCTCTGATCAATCTCTTGACGGATGATTGCTGATAGCACTGATCTATAGAACTAGCTGAGAAACAGGCGGAACGAAGGAACCTGCATTGTGTGGTGGTGAACTCGTTAGCCCTAGGAAGGGGTGATAGCGAGTTCGATCTGTACTGCAGCTGCGGTCCGGAGTTTTACAAATATCTCAGCATTAATCATCAATGAATTATGAATACAACAGGAAGGTACATAAGGACAAGAGAAGTGATTACATAGTGTACATGGATGAATGGAGAAGTGTCGAGGATACATCAGCTTGTCTTTCAACCATAGGTACCACATGAGATTGCAACTGGTGTTTCTTTACTCCTTATAATCGACGTGTTACTGGCATGCTAAGTTTGTGGCGTCCATAGACGGTGGTTGTATACGCAATTAAAATTTCAGGATTGATTCAAATGCATCTGACCTTTATAATTATTTGATAGTGGGACACCAGTCTAGATGTAAGGAACATTTTCATCAGTTACGGCCATAATTGTGCTGAAATATTTGCAACACCCTACCAGATTTGCGGTTATCCTTTCCGGTGATCTACGTGTTATCCACTGCATCATTAAGGCCCTTGCTTTGCTTTTCTCTCAGGCATTCCAACACTTATTTATGTATTACATGTGCTGCCTTATTTTAATTTTTAGTTCGAGAAGCAGAGCGAAATCATGGATATGAAGGAGGAAATTATGGGTGATGCCATTGATGATGCTCTAGGTGATGAGACAGATGACCAGGAAAGTGAGCAAATAGTGAACCAGGTTAGATAACACCATTCATATCTACATTCATATTTTAATGAAACAAACACGTATCGGATGATTCGATGTTTCTCAACTTAACGTTTTCCATAGGTTCTTGATGAGCTGGGTATTCAAATGGGTGAAGAGATGGCTGGTCTACCAACAGCTGGTGGACAGATTGGCGTGAGTACAGGTGATAAAGTCAAGGAGCCCGTTGCTGCTGGAGGTACTGATATTGATGATGATTTACAAGCACGGTTGGATCAACTGCGTCGAGAATAGTTCAGATGTGGTCAAATCATCTGACCTTTGTTCATTTATTGGCTTTGTGTATTTTGTACATTATTCCCAGTTAACATTCATTCTTTTAGTTCGTGCTTTTCTATAAATTTCTCTTTAAGTTCTATTATATGATGCATATGCTTTATACCATCTTTATAACCTTGAGGGGTGTCGATTTATAGACGTACTTCTTCAGTAATAACACAAAAATCGTGTCTTACCCACGATATATCTCAATTTAACTAATGGTTGGTCGTTTTAAACTTCATCAGTCGATATTCTTAGTAAATGCTCTTTGCCAAGCTGTGATCAATACGAAAGCGACTTTTTTCTTTGAATATATGGATGGCTATAACTCATATAAAATCTCAAATACTTACGTGCACAGTTGTTTTCGTTCATGAAACATTCTGCAGCTTTTATGCCTATTCAGACGATCTTAAAGTGGAGAAGAAATATTACAAAGTTTGCGCGGCAATATGAGTGATGTGCGACTCATATCAAGGAGCTATTGAGCTCTTTAACATCGAAGGGATCATTATTGATTGGTATGAAAACGATTACGATTTGCAGATCATTGGTAGTAATGTACGAGTGCTGTAACTCCGGAGGAACACAGTGGTCACAGTACTGATTAATACGCAGGAAGCCATAGTCAGATAGCTCCTCGGGCCACCCAAAACTACCAACCCATAGGGGAATTGGCGTCAGACTTGTCTTGAGATCTCTCTTCGATACGAGACATTTGCGAACGCCCCAGCATGGCTATCACAAGATTCCAGGGAGAATCGACCCGACCAGCCTTCTACGACGTTCGTAGAGAAGATTATGGTGCTCTAGACACATGTAGATCCGAGGTCGTTTGTGGATGATGGATGCGAGAAACGAATTGGATGAGAGGAACGATGAAATTAGCCCATTATGTAATTTAGGGTCGTCTGAAGTCTGCTAGATTGGGGTTCTGGCTTCCTGGAGCTCAGTCGTCTATTCTGTATTGCCTTCAAATCTATACCTAGGACGAGCAGCATAGCGATTTAATAGCACGACACAATAGTACCGCTAAATGCATTATCAATGTAGCAGGTTGCCACCGTTGTGTCCAAAACTTTAGTTTTTCCATTATATCGCTAATTTTAGCTGTGATTAGAGAATATGAACGAGATGGAAGCCCGAGAAATATTTATATTAAATCATGCCCATATCCTGTTTTTCTGGAGCCCACAGGAAGGAGTTTTAATATTTCTCGTGTTGGTTCGTATTTTAAATACTTTAGCGTTTGAAGAAGCGGAATTTCCTCAAAAAGACACCACGTTTTCTCGTAATGAAAATGAGTTGACGTCAACTCATACCGGCCGATCTGGCCTTTCTTTCACCCAGGAATGAATGTAAATCCAATCATTTTGAACTCTAAGGGGCGTGTGTAGCACAGAGCTTAGGGGCGCCCTGCAATATAAGTTCGATCCTGCGCTCACTGAGCCTTCCATCCGTCTGGGGTCGGCAAACTGGCACAAGACCTGTCTAGGAGAGTAGCATCACTAACTCGATACATCAGTAGCCCACCACGAGTCATTGTAAAGGCCAGATATGCATTCAGCCACTTTTAACGATGGTTGATGAAGTCGAATGCATAACGCATCCTACAGGGTTGTCTATTTTTATTCTCATTTGTTTAGGAGACGTGCGAAGTTCAAGAGTTAAAAGAGTAAATTCTTAAAAAATGGCCATAATTTAGTTAAATAATGTGTGTTACTTAGTGAAACCAACTGTTTAAACGTATTGCATTCCTGTTGGCTAGAAAACTACTGTTTATGAGACTCTTTAATTCTATCGTTCCGTACTAGATAGATTCGGCACAGTAACTGTTACTTTTTTTTCAAAATGAATGAGTCTGAAACTCGTTTGTAGTAATTCCTGTATGAAATGCCATTACAGAAGTGATCACCGTTTTCCCCAGACATTATAGGCACCTGATCATTCCGTTCGGTACTATTGGGCTTCGATTTTACAGGGCTTTGCAGCTTTCCAGTCCCATCGGAAGTCGCGATCTCGTTGAATCCAGATTATTCTATCCGAAATTATTTATTATTATTCTATTATTATTCTAAAAAAATTATTGAAATTATTCTATTATTATTATTATTATCCGAAATTAAAATTATTTGAAATTATTCTATTTCTTATTATTATCCGAAATTCGCCGAAACGTCAGCTTAATCGTGAACAAAGAATAGTAACACCTCGCGTTTGCTCAACAAAAATACGAAAAAAATCACTTGATCAATGCCGTGGTTAATAGAAAGTCGGTCGTGGGAGTTACTGAAAGATGTACCAGCAAGATACTTCCGACTTGTAAAAGAAGCGCTGTCA